TTTTTTTGTGTGTGTGTTATTTATTTATTTATTTATTTATTTATTTTTATCACACATTCAATTGGAAAACCTAGCAAGGTCTGCCCTGTTAGCTATTCCAACTGTTCCAGTCTGTGCAATAAACTATAGTTTAAACACGCCACGGGCCTCCTTCTGAAACGTATAAGAAAAGTATATTCTTACCTGTTTGGAGTTCACTGATGTCCTGCACAATTTCTGAGAGTTTTTTCACGTTGTTTTCCATGGTCTCTTTGGTCTCCTCAATGTATTTTAGCTTGTCAGTCACCTCATGTTTTAGCTCTGTTACAGAAAAATGTATTAGACAACAAAAATACTATGAACAATATAAAGCTGAAATATGACTAATATGTCCGCAATATATAATTCTGTTGAGCTCCATACCAATTTGCTCTGAATGCAGTGTGACAGATTCCTTGAAAACATTGTCACTCTGTGTTATGAGGTATTCAAGCTGCGCATTGATCCCACTGGTGGCCTAAAAGACAGATGTATGAAGAAAAATAACAAGGACTGATAGAAAGTTGAATGCAGTAAACGAATGCCTAAAAACTGCATGATCTGACATACATCTTCAGCTCTTTCGGATAAGTTGAAGGTGGTGAGTGAGGTGATGTTGGCATCGTCAACGTATTTCACTATGTTGTTGTAGACGTTGGCAGCAGTTATAGCCCTCTGTACAAAGCCATTGGCGTCACTCTTTCTCAGGTCCCTGGGGGAGATAGTGTGATTCAACTCAAGTGTTCATAGTCTGCTTGCTCAAGCTCAGTGAAACTGCAGAGCAGAACATGGACTGCTGTCACTAGTTGCACTGCAAGACAGCAGCATCAGAATCTGTCCACTCTCTGGAGAGCCAGCTGATTCCTCCTCCACAATGCATATATGACATCACTTAACAACTAAGTGTGTATTCCATATGTTTATCATTGTTACCAAAAAACATGCAAAAAAACTGTATTATTCTAACATTTTATATATGATAGAAATTAGGAAAAACTTCATAGGTCACAAATACATACTATATGAAGCATGAAATGTTTAATAAGTTTAATAAATGGTTCCTATCC